CTGCGTCGGCGGCTGGAACGGCAGCGCCTCCGTGCGCACCGCCTATCTCGTCACGCTGAGTTTGGCGACGTACGACCAACGAGGTACCGCGGCCGAGCGCGCCGCCATGTCTTCGCACTTGATGAACCACTGCGGCATCAAGTACGGCTCGATGACGTTGCCCGAGCGCGAGCAAATGGAGACCGTCGTCGGGTGGTCCAGCTACACAATCCAGTTAACGGCGAGGCAGATACCTTTATAGAAGAGACGTACGGTGTCGACGAAGAGACCTTTCTCGCGGAGGAGCTCGACCATTTGGAGCCGCGCGTCAAAGCGGTCCAAGCCAGAGAGCGACGGGATGTCGGTCACCATCTTGCAGTCGAGGTCGATCACGATCGGCTCGGGCAGACCGTGGCGCTGGGCGCACGCAAAGTCGTTGGCGTCGTGCGCCGGCGTGATCTTGACGACGCCAGTGCCAAGCTCGGGGTTGACGAGCACTGCGTCACAGACCACCGGGAGCCTCGCACCCGAAAACGGGTGCAGCACGGAGCGACCGTGGAGGTGTGTGTACCGGTCGTCGTCCGGGTGCACAGCGACGGCCACGTCACCGAGGATGGTTTCCGGGCGCGTCGTGTCGATTTCGACAAAGAGATCGTCGGCGTCGGCCACCTGGACACGTGATCGAGCAAGCTACGCAGCGACGGAAGCTACCTGGTAGCGGAAGCGGTACATGACGCCGAACTCGACCGGCGCCTGGCGCCCGGGCAGTGGCAGCAGCGTGCGCTTCGTCAGCGGCACCGCGTCCACCTCAATGTCCGAAATGGCGGTCTGGAGCGTCGGGCACCTACTCGCCGTGTAACTTGCCGCCTCGTTGCACATGGCGGCGCGAACCAGTTGACCATGCGCCGGTGACGGTAGATGAGGCCTTTCTCGTGGAGGCGGACAAAGGCGTCGACGACTGCAGCCGACCTAACGCCTCGTGTGAGCCAGGATGCTATAGGTACCCTCCAGTTTAACGCACCGAGGCCCGTCGAGCGTAAAGAACTTGTGGTCATGGTTGAGGACGGCGCCGAGCCGGTCCAGCTGCCCGAGGATGCGCGACCCGTACGTCTCGTACCACGCCTCGACGTGGCCCAAGAAGGCGTCGCGGCCAATGTCGTGCCGCGTGAGCTGCTGCTCGCGCATGAGCTTCTTCTCGACGACGCTCTGCGTCGCGATGCCAGCGTGGTCGAGACCCGGGATCCAGCGCACGTCAAAGCCGCGCATGCGATGCCAGCGCGCGATCGCATCCTGGATCGTCG